AAAAAAAAAAAAAAAAAAAAAAAAAAGGAAAACTTGGTTATCTTATGAAGAAAATAGTTAAAAATACTAAGAGAACTAAATAAAATTAAAAAAAAAAAGTAACTTCAGAAAATATATGAAGCAGTTTTTATTTATTGATTAAAAAGTTTATATATGAAATAATTGATGAACTTTAAAAGTGAAATATAAAAATTAGGATATTCCATTTATTAATATTTTTGATGTAAAAATAAAGAACAAAAAATTAATTCTTTCCACTTGCTTAATATTCTGTAAATTAAAAAATAAGAAAAAAAAGATAATTATGGCCTTAAAATTTGATTCTTTTACTAATTTAAGAATTAAAAAATCTGTTTGCATAAAATATTTAAAATTCTTATTTTACTTAAAAAGATATAACTTTGAAAATAAATGGAATAGATATTATTGTTGTTTATTTCAAACAATAGATGAAAAAACAACATTAAAAAAATTAGTTCTTCATAAATTTTCTAATAATTTTGAAAAAATTAAAAAGAAAGAAATTTTGTTTAAAAAATATTTATCATACTTAATATCAAAACCTATAAAAATTGCGTCTTTTGACTTTGATGGAACTTTAATTAATTCTCATTTTAATAAACATAAAAATAATTTATTATACGACAAAAACGTTTTAAACACTCTATATAATTTAAAAAATGAGTATAAAATAATTATTTTTTCTAATCAAACGAATGTATCATCATGTGTTCATGATTATGATCACTTACGATTTCAGAAGTTACCTAATTTCTTTTTAAAAATTCGCAATTTTAAAAACTCTTTAAAGTATTTTTATACTCTGTTTTGTGATACCAAAAGAAGTAATTTTTCATATTTAAATAATTCTCATAAAACAAAAAACAAACTTTATTTATTCATTTTGAATTTACAAAATAAATTTGGGAAATGTAAATCCAGTTATTTATATAGAAAATATCATTCCTATTTACTCAATCAAATAACGTTAACTCCCCAAATGTGTAATTATTTAACAAAAAAAAAAAAAAATTTTAAAACAGTTTTAAATAAAAGGTATTATTTAAAAGAAAGTTTAAGGAATAATAAAAGAAATAAATTAAATTTTTTATATTACTTTTTTTCAATAGGAAAATACGGAATTGAAGATCTTGATATTTATACGAAACCTAATGTAGGACAATTTGCTTTATATATTTGTTTAGAAGCAATAAAATATTTAATAATTTTAAATTTTTATTTTAAAAATTCTTTTGAATTGATAAAAAAGGAAATTTCTAATATAGAGAATAAAGAATTGAGAAGTTTCATACTTCTTAGTATTGATATTTTTAATATTGATGAAATACGTGAATTAACGAAAAATATAAAAAGAAAAAATTTTTACATTGATAAAATAAGCTTAAAAATATTAGATATATATGTAAATTTTTTATTAAAAAAAACAAAACCATATATTTTTGTAAAACAAAAATATCCAAATTCAATTTTAATTGATTTTTTTTTAAATGATCAAATAACTACGAATATACAAAATAAAAAAGAAATATGGAATTTATTAAATGACAATGAAAATTTAAAATATTTAATTTTTTGCTTGATATATAAAAATAAAATAATGAAAAATTTAATGAAACAATTTTCCAATTTATTGTTTAATTTCAAAAGTAGTTTTTATGTAGGGAATAACATTGGTCGTCCTTTTGATAAATCTGATATAGATTTAAAGGTAATTTATTAAAATTTTTTTTTTTTTTTTTTTTATTTATTTTTTAGACATTGCATTATTAACTTCAAAATTGTATTATGCATTTTTTTTTTCTTTTTTCTATACATTTAGTGCTAATATATATATATATATATATATATATATATATTTTTTATATACATATTTAAAAAGAAGTTTATATTTAAAGTATATAAAATATACTATAAAATATCTGTTTCTATTCTTTATTTTTCCTTTTAACAAAAAA